ATCCCAGCATGCAGAAAGAGAAGGTGAAGTTTTTCTGACAGTTTGATCAGCAATCGCTCATCACCATCTGACGTTCTGCCTCAACAATCAGGCAGGACAGTCATGTTGTATACTAATGAACAATGTTTAAATGAAACATCCCCTTGATACAACATCCATCCAGCCCACACACAGATATGTGAGCATCCTGCTTTTGCTGGGTTGCTTGAGGTGATTCCAGCTCTTTGATGAGTTTCTGGCTGGAACGCTCAGCTTCCCTGCTGAATCTGTGGCTGCTTCTCCTCCTTACTCCTCCTCTTTGTCTTTCCCCCTTGTCAACACAATCCCTCCACCCATCCGTCCTAAGGCAGGGGCTCGGCAGGGGCCAATCCGCCCCTCAACCCTCCTCTAGGGTGCTCACACACTTGTCTTTGGGAACCAGTGAAGACCTTTTGATTTATTACATCCGTTCTCCAAACTCACAGCTTGGCTCTGTGTTCTCAGCGGGTTCAAAACTTTACTGTCACATGAAGGGGCAAACTAAACAACAGAAACCAAGAAGTTAATTTAAACCTAGAAGGTAATAGTGGTGCAATATTTTAAAATGAATAATCACCCACACTTTACTTACTATTCAATATTCCTTATTAAAGCATGGTAGGATGTTTCACATGTTTTTTTGTTTTTTTTTCCACAGGAAAACTGGTAACACATTTAGATGTTAAAAGATAGGACAATACAAGTTGCAAGTGTCTGACATTAGAAGGAATTTACAGGAAAATGCGTTAAAGTGGAGAGATCAAGCTTTGATGTCAGTATGATAACATTTTAGGTGTGATTGAGGCATAAAGCTTGAACAGTTCTCTCCAGCAAATCCACAAATTTAGAAAACCAGCTGTAACCATTTCTAGAGAAACATTTTTTGTAAAGGTCTAATTGTTTTACTATTCCTTATTATTTTGGTTAACATTTAAACATGCTGCTTCTATTCCTGCTGACCTGCTTGTTGGAGTGACTCCTGGCCATTCATTAATCAGGGAAAAAAAGGAATGAGTAAGAGAAGGGCAGGAATCTCTATGGACATCTTGCTGCTTTGCTAGCCTTCAGAAAGCAGCTGACTAAAGAATAATTTAAAGAAGAGGAGAGCTATAGTTCTGCGCTTAAGGCTATTGTTAAGTCCAAACCTGAGCTGGACAGGGCCTCATTTAAAAGGATCTGCAAAGATTGTTGCAAAAACAGCAAACCATCACTACTGGAACAAGGTTTTCCTTTTTAATGATTATGATCTGTTATATTACAGATGTGTGTCATCATTGATGCTCCAACAGCAGCGTGCAGGTAAACAGATTCCAGTGCTCGTTATGCAGTCAATGCATGCACCAGGCTAAACTCACCTGGTCATGCTTTTAATTTATTACATTATGCAAGACATATGTTTGGTTATAGCTGTATGCAAACAAAATGAATGACAGTTTATCTTCGATTGGATATGAACCTTATAATCTGTTAGTAACCATATAAAAAAGAAGAATTTCTTTGTTTTGAAAAGCATGAATACAACAATATATGGGCTGATTTAAAGTGGATCGCTCTACAGTGTCATCTAATGATAAGGTTTTTCACAACACAGGTTGTTAAACCATCCCTTCTACTAAAAAGAGAAAAAAAATTACAATTTTCCCCCAAAGTATAATAATAATCCCACAAAGTAAATAATAAATCTGTTGATTATGAGGCTGTTACATACTTAGATTCTATATTCACATACCGAAGTGAGAACAGTGCAATTTAAATACATCTTAGTCAGGTTTAAAATATGTTTGTGCATAGGATCTATATTTGTAATTAAATAATTGCTCCACATTTGAGAAGTCTTCATTTATATTTTTTTTTTACTGTTTATTTGATGCCTTTTTCTAAGTAAACAATCAGATTAAAACCACACACACAGCCTTTTGTTTGCATGACTTTTGGGGACATTACCTTCACTTACATTAATTTAACCTGGCTAAAAACCCTAACCTTTGTCAACCTATACCATACCCTAATATTCAAACCCAAACCCCAACCCAAGGAAGAAAACTTCAAGGGGACACCTTCCATGTCCCCATTTGGACCTGTAAGTCTCCACAATGTGGGATATTTAACAATACACTGCCCAGGATTGCAACTTAAACAAACCCACAAACACACATATATGTATTAACACATAAAAATATGAAGCTGAATCAAAAGAATTCACCTACAGAAAAGAGAAAAGTCAAACTGTGATCAGATCTGTGTTTCTTGCAAATGTCTTGATAAATTGGCATTAGAGGGGATGAAGTGTGTGACGGATAGCAGAGTCGGCCTTCCAATGACTTTAATCATTAAACATGTTGACTTAGGATTCTTGAAACTGCCCTGAACCTGGGATGAATATCTGTAGAAACAGAGAAAAACTCTGTACTCAGCAATGGCAATTGAAATTATGTTTAGGAGCAGATCTCCTGCTGTGACAGCACACCAACCGTTTCCAAGCAACAAACACATCCTTCCTGTGCAAGTGTGTACATCTGTATTGTTTCTAACTGAGTACAGAGTTTATATTGTTGCGTGTGTAGGATTCCTCTGTGGATTAGGTGGAAATAGAAAACGGTGACCAGCATAAGTATCATTTCTAATAGAAAGATATGTGATTTAACAAATCTTGGAGACATTTCTGCAAGCTTTTTGGGGATCAATTTCCCAGTTTGAATGTATTCTTCCTGAAAAGCAGAGGACACCTTTTGACTGGATCTTCCATAGTCATAGCTGGAAGGTTCAGCTATTACTTCCTGAGTTCTTATGGCTGCAGCTTTGGCTCAGATACCATCCAGAATATACTATCCAGATTCCTATATGATTGACCCACTTTGAATGATATGTGCTGAGATGAATGTTATCATCTTTTAACAAATTATGTGAGACTGACACCTAGTGGAGCAATGGTGTCATTAAACCAACACAGATTTTAAACCCTCTGCACATGCAGCCATTTAAATAAATAAACCTGGTAAAAAAAAAAACAACAACAAATGATTTAAAAAAAAACAGTAAATAATTGTACATTTTTAAAAGCAAAGCTTAGCATTAAAATATGTTTTGAGATTTTAATTTAGTTGGGTAGTTTAAGCTCCTCAAATTAAATGAAAGAACTCTAGCATTAAAGGTTTACAAATTGTAAAATGTTAAATGGCCTGTTCTTATATAGCGCTTCTTCAAGTCACCAGACTCGAAAGAGCTTTACACCACATTTAGTCAAATACCCATTTACACACACTGATGGTGGCGAGCTACATAGCCACAGCTGCTCTATGGTACATTGACAGAAGTAAGGCTGCCAAAAAAATGCCATCACAACCTCTGACCAACATTAGTAGGCAATTTGGGTGAAGTGCTTCACTCACAGCCAACAAAACCTCAAAACCTTACTTTTTGTGGAAAAAATAGATTAGACAGAACCAAAGAAAGAAAGTAGTTTCTGAAGAAACTGGCTGTTTATAGTGCTGAAAACCACATATAAACTCTAATCTCAACAGCGACAACCATATAGTAAGGAGGAATTTGAAACAAAGGACATTCAAGGATTTAAGGGATTTTCATAAAACTAAGTTGCATGTAGCCGAAATCAAGAGCCACAGATACATTAATAAACGGTTCATCAGCTGTGGCTTTATCTTGTGCTAAAATAAAACTGAAAAAAACAAACAAAAAAAAACCCTGCACTGTGGACAACATCACAGAAAACGTCTTACTTAAAACAACACAACTGTTACTTGATGGTCCAAAGTCCTCCTTTTCAGGTTAAAGTATTTTTGCCTTTTTAACTAATAATCAAGGACCCTGATTCTGAAGAAAAGAATGGTGATCCTGACAATCCTGCATGCATGAGTTCACAATGTGATGTTTCTACAGTCACAGACCTCTAATGGTGCCCTTTATATATGGGTGCTGATCCAATGTGTTTTATCATAGCTAAAGTTTACATGGAACACAGAAAACTCCATTCTTTATTTTACTAACAAGCTGAACATCTGCTTTAACTGACCAAATATCACTGTACCTAATTGGCCTGACAACTAGCTTGATCTAAACCCTATAGAGCATCGGTCCCCAACCTTTTTTGCACCACGGACCGCTATATGTTCACGGACC